TTTGGCCCTGCCAAGATTCTGGCGCGCGTCGGGACCGCTTGGTTCTGGCCCCTTTCTTCTGGCACATCTGCAGTCCAGAGGGCCCCTGATACTAGACATTTGTGTCCGCAAATTAAGCACAATGTGGAAGCCCCCGAGTGGAATTCTCTCATGCATCAGTGCATGTTGAGATGAAGGGAAGCTGTGACTACGTGTGTTTATTGTCCATTCCAATACCTTTTGCAAAGTACCCATCGAGTCTTTCACCTCTTTTTTCCTATTGGTTTGTCTTTTTCTTATTAATTATGGGACTTCTTTATATATTCTGGGTATGAGCATACTCTGTGGCTTGGCTTTCACTTTTTGGGGGGGGGGGTTCAAATTGCTTAAGTACCGAAGACCTCACAGGGAAGCGAAATACTGTTCTCGTGCACATCATCAATGTTGCAGAACACAAATTTTTGTGCATTTTATTCTACTTAAGGAAACATCCTACTCCCCAGATCACTTAATCATAATCTGGGCTGTAATTTGAATCAAAAGGATAAGAGACGTGGCTCGCTCTCTCCTTTTGCAGAAGAAACAAAGTTTCAAATGGTCCAATTCAAGCAGAGACATTAGAGGAAGAACTTCTTAGCTCAGGAGGCCTCCCCATGGAGTCTGGGTTGTGCTCTGGTTAGGGGGACAGTTTTACTATGGTCACGTAGGTCTGGGACAGACAGGAAAGGCTTTTCTGCTTACTGACCTTTCCACTCTTCATGGTGTTAATAATTGGAAATTTCTAATTTTTTTGTAGTTCAGTTTATGCATGTGTGTGTGCCCTCATCTCCAAAACAGTTTTCTTTTGTTATCTCTGAGAGGCTCAATTGTTTTACTTTTCACATTTTGTTCTCTGATTACCCCGGAATAGATTCCTCTTAAACTTTTTGTTGACATGTGATATTCACATACAGAATGCAAACTGAACACCCCCAAGCAGTGGGCATCCAGATCAGCACCAGGACGTGGCCACATCCCAGAGTCCCCTCTTGCCCCAGGGGTAAACACTAATTAACGTCTTACACTGATAGGTTTTGCCTAGTTTTGTATTTACGCAAAATGAAATTGTACCTTATGCATCTCTTGCTCATTAACCTGTTTGTATGTAGATGTAGTTCACTTATTCTCATTGTTATAAACTATTTCAGCATGTGACTGTTCCACAATTTGTTCTGCTGTCGATGAGCATTGGGGTCATTTACAATTTGGAGTTATTACAAACGGTGCACCTAATAACATTATAATACATACATATACGTTACTAATACCAATATACTAATACATACTTGGAAATAGAATTGTTGGGCCAGAAGGTTCACTTACTTTCAGCTTAAGGAGAGATTCTGCTAATTTTTCAAAGTGGTTGTACCAGTTTATTCTCCTTATTAACATTTGGTATTGTCTGTCTGTTTAATTTTAGCCATTCTGGTGGGTTGGTAATGGGCCCATTGTGGTTTTTGTTCAATTTCCCTGATTACTAGTACAGCTGAGAACTTTAAAAAATGTATTTATTGTCTGTTTGGGTAGCTTTTGTGAAGTGTTTGTTTGGGTGTTTTGCCCATTTTTTCTATTGGGCTTTTTTCCCCCCACTAATTTGTAAAAGCTCTTTATATTTTTTTGAATATGAGTCTTTGTGAGATGAGAGTTCAGTGAATCTCTTCCCTCTCTCTGTGGTCTCCCTTTTCACTGTTTATGGTGCCTTTTGATGAACAGAAGTTCTTAATTTTAGTAGAGTCTAATTTACAAACTTCTCCCTATATGGTTCTTGTTTTGTGAGCCCTCTTTAAGAAATCTTTGCCTATTCCCACATCATGAATAGTTTCTTCAAAAAGCTTTGTTTCATCATTCCTGTTTAGATTTGCAACCTGTCTTAAATAGACTTTTATGTGTGGTCTGAGGTAGGGATCAAGATATATTTTCCTTCGTGGAAATCCACATGGATATTCCATTGACCTAGCACCATTTATTGGAAAAACCACCCTTTCCCCTTTGCTCTGCAGTGCTACCTTTTTCATAAATCAAGTGTCCAAATATGGGAGGTCTGCTCTGTTCCATGGGTTTAGTTGCCTATCCTAGTATGATATCATACTGTCTTTATAATAATCAGCTTTATTATATCATAATATTAGTATATTATTATAAAAGCTTGACTGCTTCAAAAAAGAGCTTCCACTTTTTTTTCAAGATTGTCTTGGTTATTCTTGCCCTTTGCATTTTAATAGAAATTTTAGATCAATCTTGTATCTTAAAATGAACCCATGCTTTGATTTGGATCCACTGTAGGTGAATTTAGAGGGAGTTCACAACTTTACAATATTGAGTATTCCAATTCATGAACATGGTATAACCTTACATTTAGTTATATCTTCTTTAATTTCTCTTAGTGTTTTATTGTTTTTGTGTAGAGATCTTACGCACCTTTTACCAGATTTATTCTAGTATTTATTACTTTTTGATGCTGTTGTAAATAGTCTCCTGTTAAAAAAAATTCCATTTTATAAACATTAGATTCTAGTATATTGAAACACTGTACAATTGAAATACAATTATGGAATACTACTCAGCCAATGGACTACTACTCAGCCATAAAAAAGAATAAAATAATGCCATTTGCAGCAACAGGGATGGACCTAGAGATGATCATACTAAGTGAAGTCAGACAGAGAAAGACAAATAGCATATGATATCACTTATATGTGGAATCTAAAAAGAAAATAAGTAGAAGACACAAATGAACTTATCTACAAAACAGAAACAGACTCACAGACATAGAAAACAAACTTGTGGTTACCGGGGGGGGGAGGTGGGAAGGGATAAATTGGGAGTTTGAGATTTGCAGATACTAACTACCATATATAAAACATATAAACAACGTTTCTTCTGTACAGCACAGGAAACTATATTCAATATCTTGTAATAACCTATAGTGAAAAAGAATATGAAAACAAATATATATATGTTCATGTATGACTGAAGCATTATGCTGTACACCAGAAACTGACACAATATTGTAAATTGACTATATTTCAATAAAAAAGAAAAATAGTGATATCTCAGTTCAGAGACAGTTCAGTCATTACAGGGCTTAAGAGCAGTCCAATCAACTCTAATAAATGCCATGAGCAAAAAAAGGAAAGAAAGAAAGACAGTTGATACTGGCACTGTATCCAGCAAGCTTGCCACATTCGCTTATTCATTCTAATAATTTATCTATAACCATTCTTTTGGATTTTCTGCACACATAATTATGCTATCTGAGAATAATGACAGTTTTTTTCCCTTTCCAATTACTATTCTAGTTCTTTCTCTACTTTTCACCCTAGTGCATTGGCTGGGATCTTCAGTGTTGGACAGTGGTGAGAGTGGACACTCGTTAGCAGGCTTTACTTCATAGCCAAGGGAGGGGGAAATAAAACCCTAATCAAAGGTGATCAGAGTTAACATCACCAATAATGGAACAAATACAAATCCTGTATCACCTGCTAGGATGCATTAAGAAGAACAGGGCATCACTTCTGTGAGATTCCTGCCAAAGACACATGACCGGAACCGAAGTATGAGGAGTCCTCAGACAAACACACAGAGGGACAGCCTGCAAATAACCGGTTGGTATTTTTTAAAAAGTGCAAGGTCGTAAAAGTCAAAGAAAGACTGAGGAACAGTTCTGGGTTGGAGACAATTAGAGAGACAGGATGAGTACCTGCAGAGTGTGATCTAAGCCGCATCCTTTGGCCAAAGGCAGCATCAGGACAGTTGGCAAGACCTGCATCCAGTCAGAGGAACGGACGGTAGTGACACGACAGTGTAAATTTCCTGGTTCTCGTGGTTACCTAGGAGAAGGCCCTCGTTTATAGGAAATACGCTCAAGTATTTAGTGGGCGGTAGGGCATTATCGGTAATTCTCTTTCAAACTGTTCTGGAAAACATTTCTTTGTATTGTACTTGCAACTTTTCTGTACTTTTGCTTTGGGATTGTTTAGAGATTAAAAAAAAGAACAAACTTCATTTCAGAGAGAACCACCAGGTGGAAGCCTTGGACCAGAGAGCTGGTTTTTCCTTGGCGCTTCTCTTGCTCAATTAAAAAAGAAAAAACTATTTCTAATTGAATCGAATTTTGGGGGTGGTGATAATTAGGTTTATTTATTTATCTTTAATGGAGGTACTGAGGGCTGAACCCAGGACCTCGTGCATGCTAAGCACACACTCTACCACCGAGTTGTATCCTTCTCCCCAAGAACTACTGCTTTTGGCCATGCATTGTTCTCTGCTCCAGGCACTTTGGTTCCTCGGTGCTCAGCAGGAAGGTTGGGAGAGATCTGATCGCTCTCAGTATAGTTGCTACACAGTGAAGAGGGGCCTCGGGTGGTGGGCACTGAATCCCAGGACGTGAGGTGGGTACACAGGGCTGAACCAGTAAGGGTGCCATTCAGTGCACAGACAAGCCACAGAGCGGGAAGGCAGGAAAGGCCTCAGACAACTGGCCGAGAAGGATGAGGCCTGAGTTCAGGAGGGAAAGCAGCGTAGACGGCAGGGCAGGATGCAACCCCCTTTCCATGGCAGTCAGCACCAGCTGGCCGGGCAGGACCTCAGGGTGCGGGAGAATGGCTTTGGGATTGACTTCCCATCAGCCCTGCTTGTTCGTCTTCAAGTGTCCTTCTCTTCCTTTTTCCATCCTGTGATCTAAACCTCCACCCCTCACCTGCTCCCAGGGGCCCCAGCAGGCCCCCAGCTTTCAGCCTTAAGGCCTCATCCAGCCATGTTTTCAACGCTAAAGACACCATCAACAAAACAAAAAGATAACCTACAGAATGGGAGAAAAACATTTGCAAGTG